CTCACATTTTTATTACATTTCTACTGTTATATTTTTAATTCCCAAGGGTTCTTTTCTGTTCTCTCCCTTTTTATCGCTTTCTGTTCTTGTTTTGTGGATGCAGTGAGCTCTCTTATCAATCCGGCAATATTAATGCAAATTTGGGGAAGTTGTCTTCGCCCTGCTCAGTCTTGGATTTGTTCAAGTTGATTTTTTTCCAGTTGCTCGTTTTTTCCAATTGCTCCCTCTTTTATGATAGAGATTTTCCTCAGGGGTCATCCTTGGATGTCTGCCATTCAAGAGTACAGACTGAGAAGCCAACTGGAAGCTGGGTGTCTGGATGGGGCTTTCTCATCTGTTTTGTTATGGATTGCTCTGTGGGACTATTTCATTGGTGGAATAGGGCTTTCCTCTTGAGCAGGGTCATTTTCCTAATAAGCTTTTTCAGCCTGCTGCCAAGAGGGTAAAGGCTGGCTGCCAGACTTCTGGGAGCCAACTGGAAAAGCAGGCTGGATGGCAAGGATCTCTGTACTCAGAATAAATATGATCACTCGGTCCTCCTCAATCCTTCCCTGCCCTCCCCAGGACAGAGATCAGCTCCAGAGAATAAAAGCCCAGCCCCAAAGCCACTGCATCTCCAAGGCCCCTGAGCATTGCTTCCTAATATCTCATAAATGTGGCCATTTCTCTCCATATTGACCACCATCATCCAGTGCAAGCTGCCAGCATCTCTGACCTAGAATCCTGACACAACTACCTATGTCTTGCCCCCTCCTGTCGCTGCTGCATCCATGAACGAGTGAGGGTGGCTCTTTTATGTCACTTCACTACTTAAAAACCCTTCTGTGACTCCCCATGCCTTCAAACTCAGCACCTCTGCTGGCACTCAAGGCCTCCACAGTCTGGCTTCTTACCTTTGCAGCCTCTGCAAGGCCACACACCTCTGTTATAGCTCCTGGTGCTTCACGCAGCCCAATTTTCACCTCCTCCTGAAAGTCTCCCCAGGTCCTAGCACCTGTCACACCATCTGAGATGACCTGCTCTTGCTTGGGTCCCCGAAGGGAAGGTCTGCACTTTCATATTGGCACTGGGTGCTGCTGAGCTTGAGCCCAACACCTGGTGCCCAAGAGGTGCTGAACTGAACTGAGCCATGGATGTCACTGTCACTGGCACCTCTGGAGAGCTCTGCTCTGGGAGCTGACTGCCAGGGAAGGGCCCCAAGTCTGCCACTGGGTCAATGAGCTCAGGCTCTGTCAGCAGTGAGTTTCTCCTCACTCCTGGACCTGCAAGGCACACAGAAGGAGGGGCTACCTCCTGGTATTCAGGGTGCTGAGCACTACCCCCAAACCACCCTGTAGGGCTTCGGTGTGTGTCGCCTTTCCCAGAGAAGGGACTGATCAGCCCAGCTGCTTCCCCTACAACTCTTTGAAAGTTCATTTCCATAATGGCCATAATGCGGCATGAGCAGGGAGCAGGGAGCAGGTGCCCTCCCTGCTGCGTCTCTGGTGAAGAAAGATGCGAGTGGTAATGAGGAAGGCTGCCGGGTCAGTGCTGCTGTGTCCATTAAGCACTTGTCAGGAACCAGGCGCTGGATGCTCATCCGCCCACTTGGAGGAGGGTATTGCAATCTCCACTGGAGAGAGAAACATGGAAACTCCCTAAGTGCCTCGCTCAAGGTCACACAACCAGCAAGCGTGAAGGATTCAAATCCAGGACTCTCCAGGCCCAGCGGCACCATGCTGCCTCCCAGCACCAAGAAAAATAGTGACAGTCCTTCCTGCCTCTGTGGGTAATTTTGCTGTGTGCCTTTTGGGGGGCTCCTCAGCCTCTCTGTGCTGTCCCTGAGAGACATCCTGGAAAGCAGTGGAATAGGTGCCCTTGCAGGCAGTGTTTGTGGAGCTCTTGCTCTGGAGCTGAGGGATGAATAATGCAGAACACCCCCTTCTCAGGCTAATGGATTCCGGAATTCCTGGCATGGGTGGCGCAGGGAGATGGGGTGGGGCACTCTGCACTGGCATCCCCGCTGACCTTTAGGAAGGGTTGTGGGTTGCCTGGGTATAGCTCAGCAGCCCTCTCCTCTGGCTTGATTTTTCCAGTAACTGGTGCCCCTACCAGAAGTCCAGGCTGGTCACCTTCATAGCCGCTTGCAAAACAGAGAAATTCCTCGTCCACTTGCAGCAGCCATGTCTACAGGGGGCTTCGGACTGCCAGAACGTCAAAGTCATGTGAGTGGGGGCAGGGCGGGTAGGCCATCGGTCCAGTGCCTACACTGGCTCATCCTGGAGTCGCTGAGCTGGCCCTCTTCTTCCAGGTACCGCATGGCCCACAAGCCAGTGTACCAGGTCAAGCAGAAGGTGCTGGCCTCTGTGGCCTGGAGGTGCTGCCCGGGCTTTGCTGGCTCCGACTGCCAGCACCATGGTAGGGCTCCCTGTGGCCTCCTCCCCCCTCAACCTCTGACCCCAGAGGCCATGCACTTCTCTGACCTCTTGGGGTCCACATCTGATGCCTCCTTTCTGCAGATCCCACTGTGATCCCTGAGCCTACAGATCAAGGTGATGGCCTCCAGGAGCCTTGGGTTGGACAAGTTGGCTTTGAGCCTGGTATGTTGCTTTTCTAGAAGGCACAGGCAGGGCAGGCAGGCAGAAAGAACCCATGTGCCCAAGTCCTTTCTCCTCTGATAAGGTGGTGCCATTTCAGGAAAACTTTGCCCACAGAATCAGCAGAGGCCCCTCTGTGGCTCTGCATCACCCTACCCCACACCAAGGAGGCCAGGTTCACAGGACCCTCAGTGACCTGCCTGCTGGTGAAGCACACGCACCCTTTTCTTGACCCCATTTTCTGGGAAGGACAGTTTTATCTGGCACCTTCCTTGCCTCCTGAACTGCAAAAGCTCCCACGGCCTGGAAGAAGCCTTCCAATAGCCCTACCCCCCAACAGCCAGGAAGTCATGCTGTCTCTGTTCTTGAGTCAGCATAGGGGAACCACCAAGAGACCCCATTTGTGGGGCCTTTCAAGGCTGGGCCAAGGTTGGGATGGCGAATGAGTTTTATCATGTGGTGAACTGCTGTCCATTGACTGTCTAGAATGATGTTGAGAGGCCACGCCCTTGTGACTGAGGAGGGAAGTGTGTCATGATTGATTAGTCATGTCTGCTGTGGCCATGGGTGGCAGGGTGAGGACTTATTTACCATGTATTTGCCCTTCTGGGGCTAAAAACTTCTAAGCTCCTGCTCAGAGGACATCAGCATACACCTCTCTCTCTCTCTGCTCTCAACCCTGAAATCTTCTCTGTACCTTATGATCTGCCCAGGCCTGTGGAGTTAGCCCTCAACATTTATTTCTCATGTATCTTTAGACCACCAGGTTGCAGAGACCAGCAACCTCGTGGTGCAGCAGGAACACCTACTGGGAGATCTCCAGAATGACATTCACCACATGGCAGACAGCCTCCCAGGCCTGGCAAGCAACCTCACAGCTGCAATGACTGAGGCAAATCAGACAGAGCCTGGTGAGTGGCAGGCTCCATGGGCTGAGGAAGAACCTGATCACATCCAAGGGGGTGAGTGGGAGGGGAGGCAGGAAGGCCCCAACCTCAGAGGACCCCCTTATATAGGCCCTGCCTGGGGAGAGGGGGAGGTGTCTGCTCCAGCAGGGCTTGGTTAAACTGTGCATCTGTTGCAGAGTTTCCTGCCAGATCCTTGGAGCAAGTGCTACATTTCAACCCCATTTGGAGTAGCTTAAACCAAAGCCTGCACAGCCTCTCCCAGGCCATCAGAAACCTATCTCTTGGGGTGGAGACCAACCGACAGGCCATCAAGATGGTTCAAGAGAGTGCCGTGCCCAGGGCTGATGTCCAGGAACTTGGTGCCAAATTTGAGACCAAGGTCCAGGAGAACGCCCAGAAGATAGGTCAGCTGCAGCAGGACATGGAGGACCGCCTGCATGCCCAGCACCTCTCCCTGCACCAATCCTTCTCTGAGGTCCAGGCCGATGTGGACACCAAGTTGAAGAGGATCCTTAAGGCCCAGGAGCATCTGGGTTCCAATAACAGCCTGATGGCTGCAGCGGCAGGAGCTGCGGCGAGGCCGGAGCCAGAGAGCCTGCAGGCCAGGCTGAACCAGCTGCAGAAGAACCTCTCGGCTCTGCATCTGGCCACCAGTCGAAGGGAAGAGGAGTTACAGAGCACCCTGGCAGACATGAGGGCAACTCTGGCCCGGCATGTGGATGAGATCAGGGAGCTGTATTCGGAATCTGATGAGACCTTTGATCAGATCAGCAAGGTGGAGCGGCAGGTGGAGGAGCTGCAGGTAAACCACACGGCACTGCGCGAGCTGCGTGTCATCCTGATGGAGAAGTCGCTGATCATGGAGGAGAACAAGGAGGAGATTGAGCGGCAGCTCCTGGAGCTCAACCTCACCCTCCAGCACCTGCAGGGTGGCCACGCTGACCTCATCAAGTATGTCAAGGATTGCAACTGCCAGAAGCTTTACTTCGACCTGGATGTCATCCGAGACGGCCAGAGGGACACCACGCGCGCCCTGGAGGAGACCCAGGTAAACCTGGACGAGCAGTACCAGCGTGAGGGCTCCTCCCTGCAGGCCCTAAACAGCACGGTGGCCACCCTGTCGCTGGCGGTGGATGCACAGCAGGCGGAAGGCGAGCGGGCGCGCGTCGACAGAGCGCGGCTCCGGAGCCAGCTCCAGGCTCTGGGTGGCGAGGCAGTGGTGTTGAGGGCCGCCGAGGGCGAGCTCCGCCGTGAGGTCAGCCAACTGCACAGCTCCTTCGCGGCCCTGCTGGAGGACGCGCTGCGGCACGAGGCCGTGCTGGCCGCCCTCTTTGGTGAGGAGGTGATGGAGGAGATGTCCGAGGAGGCACCAGGCCCGCTGCCCCTGCGCTATGAACAGATCCGCACAGGCCTGCAGGAGGCAGCCAGCGGGCTGCATGAACAGGCACTTGGCTGGGCCGCGTTGGCCGCCAGGGTGACAGCTCTGGAGCAGGCGGCAGCGGGTGATGGGCAGGGCCCCGAGCGCCTGGAGCTCAGTCACGATGCGGCGCCAGAGGAGGCCGGTGAGATGGACCCGGCGCGGCTGGCACAGGAGCTCCAGCGCTTGGGCTCCGACATCAAGCGTCTGGGGCAGTGCTGTGAGACTTCCTGGGCCGCCTCCCTCAACAGCTCCCTGGAGGACCTCCACGGAGCGCTCTCTATCACCCAGCGCGGCCTGGAGCAGCACCTGCAGCTCTTCCACAGCCTCTTTGGGAACTTCCAAGGGCTTGTGGCAGCCAACGTCAGCCTGGACCTGGGGAAACTGCAGGCCGTGCTGAGCAGGAAAGGGAAGAAGCAGCACAAAGATCTGGAAGCTCCCCGGAGACGGGACAAGAAGCAAGTGGAGCCTTTGGCAGATGCCCATGTCAAAGTGCCAGTGCTGGGTGCCCTGGGAGCAGAGCTCCACAAGGCGGGTGAGTTCCCTGTCCAGGGAGACTGGTTGAGTCTAGGAGGGCAGGGCTGTCTGCAAGCAGCTCTTCTGCCTCACAGGTGGCCGGATGAAGAGCAGGAGGGTAGTCATGACTACGCAGGGCTGGCCTTGCCCTTGCTCCACCTTCCATTCAGGGCAAGGGGCCTCTTAAGCCCCCTGGAGTATAAAGAGGTAGAAATCACAAAAGCCAGGCCTCAGTGAGCAGTCCGAGCCCCTCCATGGAAACCTGAGGCTCATATACACGCGGCTGGCTGCTTGCCACGCTAACTGTATAGCAGGGAGGGGATGCCTCCTTTTCTCCCATGCCACACCTCAAATCCCTCCACCTCAGCTCTCCACTCATCCCACTTCGCACCCCCATTCGTCTTTAACCCGTGACAATACCCCACAAGAGGAATCCTGAAAGGAGCTCCTTCTGCTAACAGTTGGTCCATCTTTCTGCCTTGCACCAGGTCCCCTGCAATGCTCTTCTTGGGCTTTGCCATGTTGAATCATCACAGCAGCTCAGCGATGCATTATCACCACCATCTTACCTGAAACTGAGACTGCATCAGGGGAAGCATCCTGCTCACACAGCTAGTGAGAGGCACAGAGGAGCCCCGAGCCCATTCCAGCTGTCTAAGGTGTCGGCTCTTCCCCTGGGAAAGGCCCTCGATGGCTGGTCCCTGCAGGGCCCTGGGACCTGGGCCTAGAAAGCTGGTTGTGGGGCTGAAGCGATGTGCAGCCAGCCTTTCCACCTCCTCCCCGAGTGTGGCCCTGGGAAGGGGCCTACTAGGCTCTGCTTCAAGTGACTTTCCCCTGCCGGAGGCTGGCCTTGGAGTTATGGCCACCTCCTCGACATGGAGCTAGATACAAGGCCACCATGTGGGCTGTCTGTACCCTGCTGTAGCCTGGCATGTGGGACATCCTTACCCAAGCCGGCCCTGCTCCCACTAACCCTCTATTATGGCCCCAGATGTCTGTGTCTCCCTGGGGGCAGTGAACAGAACACAGGCGCTAGTACCACTTGTCCCAGTTTCTCCCTCTGTAAAATGGAAGAATCACACCTACATCAAAGGGTTGTTATGAAGATGAACAGATGCATTTACCAAATACCTAGCACAATGTTTAACATTTGGTAGAAACCAGTTAATGTTTTCTCATTTCCCCAGCATTTTCAGTGCTGAGGTTGAGTCCACTAACCCTTCCATCTTTTTTCCACCTGGGAGTGGTGGAAGGACCCAATTTGCCTGATGGTTTAGGAATCTGAGTTTGCCACTACAATATTTTATTTCAAAAAAAATTTTTTCTTAAAATAAAGAACCCCCCTTATCTGTCTTGCAGGCAGGCTTGAATTTGTGCCCTGCACGGAAGTCCATTCTCAGTTTGCCTGTTAGCAAATAAGGAAGCACAACTCTTCCTCCTGAGAGCACGTTGGGCCCACGGGCCGGGTGGGGGCTCCCTCTAAAGTTCAAGCGCAAAACACCATCAGGCTGGCTCAAACCAGTGCAGGAGGGACAAAGCACTGGAAGAGGGCGCTCCTAGGCGGGCCTTCCTTAGGTGGGGCGAGCGCCCCACCTCCTGGATCCTGGGGGAACTGCAGGGCCAGCAGCGGGACTTTGAATATGACACAATCTTACACAAATGGGAACACTATTCTGAACTTTAATTCTCAGAAAATCTTCCAGAACTAGAGAAGAGCAAAATTTTGTTATCCACAAGGCTATTGCTGGACTGGGAGCCAAATAGCTGGGGCTCTAGTTCTGGGACGTAAGTCACTAACAGCTATGCAAATTGTTCTTCCTCTGGGCCTCGGTATCATCTCCTGAGAAATGGGGAGCTTCTTCTCAACAGAGAGACAGAAACAGAGGGAGGGAGAGGGGGAGAGAAGGAGAGTGCACACGTGTACCCATGTGTTGAGCACTCTAGAAGCATGACCCCATCAGTGCCAAGGCCTTTGTTGTGGCTGGAACCCCAGTGGGACTTGGCCAGGCAGCCCAGCTGTTCCTTCCTCACTGTGCCTTCACCCTCTACACAGAGGACTCCACTGGCTCCATACCTGTGTTCTCGTTGTTACTATCTGCCTAAGGCTGACTAAAGTGCTTCTTCAAGTGGGAAGAGCGTCAGAACTAAGGGCATCCAAGGACAGCTCCCAGTTTGGTAGTTTATCAGTGTCATCTGGAGCAAGCTTTCTCTTTCTGGGCCTGTTTCCCCATCTGTAATCCCAGGGCTCTGTGCAACGTTTTAAAAACATTAAGATGACCAGCTTGAAAGGCTTTTGTTCCCTGGTCCCACCTGCTATTTCCTTGTCTCTCTAAGGTCCTGTGCCAAACATCCAGTAGGAGCCACTCATCACTTCCTTAGTTATCACAGTGTTAGCATTGTCACCTTGAGGATAGGTGTGTTTTCTCTCTTTTCCTTGGGTATCTCAAGATCCCTAGCAGGCGGCAGTAGTATGGGAGTCAGAGACCTTGGTTCCTGTGCCAACCTGCCATTGACAAGCCACGGAGCCTTGGACCAGTTAAGAAGTGGTCCAAGAAACTTCAAGACTCAAAGTTTCCTCAGTCAGGGCTACTTATGTCTCAAAGATGTTGGGAGGAAAAGGGATCAAACAAGAAAAGTGCTTTTAAAAAACGTACACCATTGTCACCCCAATAAATTTTAATAAAAAAAAGCAAAAAACGTATACCAGTAGAGACAACAGACTTGTATTTTCCTTTCTCCCAACTAGTGAAATACTAAGAATTGGCCAGTTAGTTCCCAATGTGAGATACATTGCTATTGGGAATAAGTAGGTTATCTAGCAATAATGACTTATTTTTCATGTTAATAAGGTGAGGAAGGCAGGTCTCAGGGTTTAACTTCCCATCCCAGGGAGTGAGGAACTGAGCCACTGAGCACTTTCCTCCTGTGTTCCAGGTTCCCCTGTGGCCTTCTATGCCAGCTTTTCAGAAGGGATGTCTGCCCTGCAGACAGTGAAGTTCAACACTACGTACATCAACACTGGCAGCAGCTACTTCCCTGAACATGGCTACTTCCGAGCCCCTGAGCGTGGGATCTACTTATTTGCAGTGAGCATTGAATTTGGCCCAGGGCCAGGCACCGGGCAGCTGGTGTTTGGAGGTCACCATCGGACCCCTGTCTGTACCACTGAGGAGCAGAGGGGTGGAAGCACGACAACCACCTTTGCTATGGCTGAGCTGCAAAAGGGTGAGCGAGTGTGGTTTGAGTTAACCCAAGGATCAGTAATAAAGAGAAGCCCGTCAGGGACTGCATTTGGGGGCTTCCTGATGTTCAAGACCTGAACACTGGGCCCAGCTCTGACCAGACGATGTGGACTTGCCCAGATCTCCTTGGCCTGGGGCTCTGGCCAGGGTTGGTCTGGAGACCACTGGTTGGTCTAGCTCTTCTCTGGAGACCTTCTGCATACAATGGGCCTCCCTCTAGATGCGCTGGATTTGGGTATTTCTTAACGATGAGGGCTGGAATGCTCTGGGCAGGACCTGGTTCGGACAAGCAGGCACCGTGATGTGGTGTGCCTTCTGGGCAGCATGGCTTGGCTTCCACCATTTACCACACCCGCTGTTCTCCAGCTTCTCTGGTTTTCCTTCTCCTGTGGTTGGCAACTTCTGTACACTAAACCTTTCTCCCACTTCCTCGTCTCCCTAATTTTATGCTAGAAAATCATTCTTTCCCAGAAAGAATATGTTTAAAATAGAGGTGACATTTTGGACAATATTGGAAACCAGTCTCCAACCACTCTAGGGCAGTAGGTCAAAACCAACCTATTTGGTTTTGGAGACAAGGGCCTGGTTGAGTGAAAGGGAAACACAATTAGTATCTTTTCCTTAGTTTCAGTCCTTCCTTGAATTTACCTGTCACTTTCATTTCACTTCCTTTTCTCCCTGCCTCATACAGGATAAAGGCCAAGACATGCCAAATATGAACTGAAATGTGTATAGCTTTCACCTTTTTACTTCCTCCAATAGCTTATGACCACCCTAATTTTTATCAGCATCTCTACCGGGAAGAGAGCTGAGGACGAAGTGAAAACAGACTGTAAAAATCGCCCTCTATTTCATTACCTTTGGAATAAAGCAATGTCCTTCAAATCTCTGCCTGTTTTACATATGGAGGGCAAAAAGATTTGGTAAAGTAGGCAGAAATGTGGGACAAAATGAAACTATTCGGGATAAATGTGACTTTCATTATTCCAGGCCATATTTACTTCACAGTTTCAGCGAATTCTACATTAAAACAATCAGGGGCCTCTGTAGTAAGCATTGGCATTAATATCAGATTAGACATACAGCTCAGAGTTGCAATTATTCCTGCAACACCAATATATGGTTTTCAAAAAACTACAGATTGCTGAGAAAAGAGGCCTGAGAAAGCAGTCATCTAGTTGTCAGGAAATGTTTGTATTTTGGCAGTAGGTATTCAATATTTGTTGCATATACTCTTCTCCATAAGAAAATCAGATTGTGCTGGGTAATAAAAAGGACAGGCGTTAGTTGTAAGGATTAACACGGTTCTAGCCCTTCTCATATTTTCTAGGGGTCATTCATTCAAATAATTGTCCTTCAGAATTTATTTACGATGGAGTTTGGTGTGCTCAATGTGCTAAATCCTCAATGTTAAAAGAACAGTATGCCAGGCTACTCTGCCACTGACAGTTTGACACTGGGCTAAATCACGGCTTTTTGTGAACATTTTTCCATCTGTAGTATAAGGTAGTTAGTCTAATAGCTCTCATTAAGTATTTTGTATTTTATTATCTTGACTACAGGTTCAGCTCTCACCTACCTGCTCTTCCCTCTGGCCAGGGCCTCTTAACCAGTGCAGCTCTTAGCTGCCAAGACCAATCCTGACCCAAGGCATGGTGTATGTGGGCCACTCCAGACCAAAGATCAGAAAGCCAGTACCAGGTCACCCTTGCTGCTCAGAAGACCAAGCCATGTCTGCTTTCTGCCCAATATTGCTATTATTGGTCAGGCCGTGCTGATGACTAAGTGGAAACATTAGGGTAATGAAGTCTTATCATTTAAGATTTTCACTTGGAATTTATTGCACATAATAAGCAGAGCAAATTGGTCTCCTCCAGAAAGGGCACACATCCTCCAACCCTCATATGGCAGATGCTCTTCGAGAGAAGGGTTATACAGAGAAGTACTAACTGGTAAACTCTGTTAGCAGCATGGGTGAGTCACTCCAGAAAAGTTAATGGGATGAGAACTACAGAAACAATGGTTCTTTTAGGTAGGGTGCTTTGCATGCAAATTTCACAAAATCTTAATATCAAGTGCAAATTTTCTGTTTTAACACTGCTATTATTAGGACTCCAGATCAGCATGAAATCTAAAGTTCAATTGATATATTTCTTATCTCCACTAAGGCATCTAAAACTTGTGGGTGGAGTCTTTTTCACTGCCTTCCAAGTCAATGCCCTGTTACTTCTGGTCAATGTTAAAATACCCTTCATTTGTCGCATCCTAAACAAGACATCTTACTGAGTACACAGTAATATCATACCTCCCCAAACCTGATGGAAAAAAAAATCAAATACCAATGAAAAACAAGAAGGGGTACCATAAGCAGATCAGGAAATTTTAGTAGTTCCTAAAAAGTAGGAAGTAGAAGGGATCAAGTATAAAATGAAATAGCAATAGGAAATCATAATCCAAAACATTTGAGTCTGTTAGAGAGATGGGGGTGATTTCAGAGGAGCCCCAAACTCAAACTCAGCCCCTCACACACTTGGCGGGGGGAGGAGAAATGATCAGTGGTAAACAGATAGTTAAAGCAGCGGGCAGTCAGTGCCGCCATCCTTGCCTGTACTAAGCAGCCAGCAGCAGTAGCCTCGGCCTCACATTAGAGCAGTGCAGGTCATCCTGAGCGCCAGTCGGGGTAGCTCCTGACCCTCTTCAGGCAGGGAGCTCCTACACCCAGACACGTGTAACCTTACTGCAATCGAGACCCAAGAGACTCAATCCAGAGGCGTGTCTCCACAAACTACAACATAATGTCAAAATAACTCCCAACCTTTATTTCAGAAACACCATGAAGGGGATAGATATGGTTTATAAAAAATGTTTCTTAGAGCTCTCCTCTCCTCCCCTGAAGCTCCTCTAGTATCCCATCATTTTTATCTGGAAAACATCAAAAACTTGTCTTGTACCTCTAGTCTGAGCATCCTCCTCCCACCCTCCTCCATCAAGAAGCTCCCCCAAACCTGGCCTGATAATGGCAAAATTCTGGCGGGGGGAGGGGGGAGAAGGGGGGCGCGGAAGGAGGTAAATAAATGGAGTGGGGAAAGCCTGAACCTTCGAGTAGTTGAGAGGAAATGTTGCTCCAACCAGCAGCTATTATCCCATTATTGCCTAATAAAAACAGGAAGCTGAGGAACATGGAACTGAGATGAGGATTCACTAATACAAAGATGAGCAACTAGCCCCAAATTGCCAAACATTTGTGGAAAACTAGCATCATGAACAAGAAGATCCGAAACTCAACAAACACAAGATTTTGGGGTAAATCTCTAAAAAAATACAGAAAATTATAAACATACATCTTGATTACTTGCCAAGATCCTGGTCTGTAAATATCATCTCCTTTAAAATGAAAAACAGTGCTTTGGAGAAATGGCTGACTGGGGCAAGGAAAGTACCAGAGGAGCCTGGAGCATCTTAATGTGCCCGGAAGGAAGAAGTGTTTTAACAATGGTGGGCTCATGTCAAAAGAACTCAGGAGCCAGTCTGAACTCCCAGTAGGCAAGTCTGGGTCAATTTGGACATCAAAACAATGAACTAATAAAGATGATAACCCATTGACTAAAATAAGAATCCACAAGTCTATAGTGATAAGGGGACATACACCATGGCCTCCTGATGGGAGGCCCTGAGGACACAAACATCTCGTCCACAATTTCACTGGCCTTTATTCTAGAAAATGTTGGTATCACAAAAGACAAGAGCTGAACTGTTTCAGAATGACGGTGAGTAAGGAGACATGACAACTGAATACAAGATCCCAGACAGATTCTGAACCAGGAAAATGTGCTCTCGAGGACTTTTGTTAAAACCCCTGGCAAAACCTGAATACACCTGCAGATTATAGTTTTGCTGATAATTGTAATGGTATCAAGGTTAACGTTCCTGATTTTGATAATTGTACATAATTGATTATATAATAGAACATACCTGAAGTATTTAGGGATAAAGGGCATAATAAGCTCTGCAATTTACTCTAAGTAGTTCAGAAAACAGTATGGGTATATATGTGTGTGTACACGAATTCCAAGATGAGCCTTTGTAATTCTATACACAAACAGAATGAAAAAGCAATTGTGGCAAAATGTAAGTTTATGAATCTGGTTAAATGGCATTTTTTTGTACTACTTTTGCAACTTTTCTGGAAATTGGAAGTTATTTCAAAATAAAGTTAAAATAAAGTTTGGTCATTGAAATAAAAAAAAAAACCTCAGTAGGTGGGCTGGAAAGCGGAAGGTAAGATGTAACATAAGAATCATGTTAGCAAATTTGGAAGAAACATCCGGGAGGTCTAGTATTTGTCTAATAGTAGTTTAGAACAGACAAGTAAAAGAAGGGAGGAAATAATGGAAGAAAAGTTCCCAGATCCAAGCAAAGATAAAAAGACCCAATTAGTACTGAGTAACAGAATCTAGACATGCAAATTTAAACTTGAAAATATCAAAAAGAAAATTTTATGTTTCTTGAAGGAAAAATTAAGTTAAACTACAAAGAACTGAATTAGACCCATCCCACTTCTCACTGGCAATAAGGAATGCTGGAAGATCACTGAGTGCTATTTTCAGAGTTAGATTCTATCTCCAGCGAAAATACTAGCAAAGTATGAGGACAGAATCAAATACAAATTGCTTTTTAAGTGATTGAAATGCCTCCCACAACAGCATTCGTCTTTTCTGTCACGGCCTTTCAATTCTTTTTTTTAATGTTTTCAACAACACTGGCTTGGACTTTAGTATAGCGGAATAACAGAGAAAAAGCAACAGATGTGTTTCAGCAACCGGAGTCACCACCTGATTCTAACTTTGCTTTAAAAAATGGCTCCGTCCAAAACAAACAAAAAGAAACCCCAAGTTCTTTCTTCCTCTAGCTTGGAAATATTTTCAGTATAAGCATTGCATATTGACTTTTAAATATTGGTAATATTTCAGGTTCCCTGTACAAAATTTAGGACATGAGTAGTGAGGTGGATGTAGGGAGCATTGGGGCACCTGGAATCCCTTGAATTTCATTACGAGCATACGTCGGACACTCACAGTGAAAGTAACTGGAGAAAGACCAGGAAGATAAAGTTCAGAGGAATAGGTAGGCCACATATTCCAATGAAAAATGAGAAAAATGATTCCTATTTTAAAGGGTGATGATTATGGATTAACCTTTCAGCCAAAGTCTCCGCTTCTATTTGAACTACTTTTTGTTATTTCCTGTGCACCTGAATTGTTTCTTCTTCCAGATTCCCAGCCTCAGGATGACTTGCCCATTTCTGCTCATAACGGAGCTCACAGTATTGAACTCCCATGACTAGAACAGTGCCACTGCCATTAGGTGGCCTCTGCCTACACTACTGGCTGGCCACCTTCCGTGACCCATGTCCACCTAGTCAAGGGCTGAAGCAAGTCTTCACAGGAATCTGCATCTAACTTCATAAAGTGTGAAGTGCCAGAAATGGTCCATACACTAGCAACAGGCAGATAAATATTTCTCCAAGTGAACAAAGATTTAATGGCTGAATTAGCATCTGCTTGAAAATTACTGACAAGGATTAGACTATTCTGAAAGAACTGTACCCTCATTTCTTAATGTCTACTCTATTAATATTACTAGTAATATTAAAGAAACCTTGAAAACAGTTCCTCTTCCAACTGATGAGTGAGAGTAACAGATTATGCTGACAAGGTAAAATGAATGTATCCAGTTTTTGGGTTAGCCTTTTATATTCTATACATGGAAGGAAAGTTTGCAAGAATTTAATAAGCCCAGGAAACCTGATTCTTCATCAAGCTGCATGAGAGTGTATGCTATTATCTTAAGAGACCATCGAGGTCCAGTCAAGATGACAGAATAGGTCAACATTGTGCTTACCTCCTGTGATAACCACATCACAATTACAACTAAACCACAGAACTGCCTGAAGTCTAGCTGACCAAAGCCCTACAGCTACGGACAGACAGAAGCAGCCACCCTGAGGCTGGTAGGAGGGACGGAGACGTGGAATGAGCTGGTCCCACACCTGAGTGTGAACATTGAAGACTGGGAGGGGTATCTCAGCTGCAGAGGTACGCCCTGGGAGGAGTGAGGGGTCCCAGACCCACACCAGGTTTCAGTGCCAGGGGAAGTACTCATAATTTCTGGCTGTGAAAACCAGCAGATTGTGACTGGGTGAGGCAGCTTGAGTTCCAGGCATTCCTCTTAAAGAGCCTTGTGCATGGACTTATTCGCTGATGGACTCACTCGCTTTGTGTTGCAGTGCTGGGGCAGCAGCTTGAACGGTACCAGGGACATAAGGGGAGGAACTGAATTGTCTGGCTTCAGGGCAAGGGCTGGAGGGGCAGCTTTCTCATGGATGGAGGAGCTGGTGGAAGCCACTGGGTCTTTGTTGAGTCCACCCCCTCCAAGTGTACAGATGCAGGCAGATGACCTAGCTGAATTTCCGTCAATCTGGCCAACACCATTCATTCGCAGATTCCCAGAGACCCTGCCCCACCCAAGTTTTGGGCACACCCAAGCCATTTCCAGTGGCTTTTCCATATAAATGGCCTGCCCTGGCTTATGCTGCAGACTTTCCTAAAATCTCTCCAAGGTTCACAAAACCCAAACAAGCAGCATCTGGTTTTGGCATGTCCCACAACTCTGGCTGAACAGCCTTAGGTCCAGCACTAGAGACAGCGGGCCTTGGTTTGTGGCTTGGCCTCATGAGGCACCTCCAGGCCCAGCACGGGCAGCGGCCATCTGCAGATTGCTTTGTGGCTCATGCCAGGTGGCCCTGAGCAAGGCACAGGCTGCGGTGGGACTTGGCCTGTGCTGGGTCCCCTTCCAGGAGGCCCTGAGATTGGCATGCCAGGTGACCAGCTTCGGACCCAGCTGGAGTATCACCCAGATGCCTCCAAGGGCACACTGGGCAGGCACCAGAGCCTGCTAAAGCAAATCCTGTTGCATAGGGTCAGCCACTGCACAATAGCTGCTCCACTGTAGTCACAGCCAGACCTCACAACCAATCACTTGGAGGATCAATCCCTCCCATTGATATGCAAACAGCAATCAAGGCTCAATTACAATGGAAGGGCACACACAACCCATATAAGGGACACACCTGGAGTACTCAGCTCGGGTGACGAGAAGACTTCCACTGAGCCCCATAGCACACCTACTACATAAGGCCACTCTACTAAGTCTGGGAGACATAGCAACCCTACCTAATATATAGAAATAAACACAGGGAGGGAGCCAAAATGGGGAGATAAAGAAACATGTCCCAAATAAAAGAACAGAACAAAGCTCCAGAAAAAGAACTAAACAAAATGGAGACAAGCAGTTTATCAGATGCAGAGTTCCAAATACTGGTTATAAGGATGCTCAGTGATCTCAGGGAGAACTTCAACAAAGAGATAGGAAACACGAAAAGAAGATAGAAAACATGAAAAGAACCAGTCAGAAATAAAGCATACAATAACTGAAATGAAGAATACATTAGAGGGAATCAACAGATTAGATGAAGCAGAGAACTGAATCAGCAATTTAGAAGGTAGCAGAAAACAGCTAATCAGAACAGCAAAAAGAAAAAAGAATCCAAAGAAATGAGGATAGCTTAAGGAGTCTCTGGGACAACATCAAGTGTACCAATATTCATATCATAGGGGTACCAGAAGGAAGAGTGAGAGAGCAAAGAATTAAAAAGCTATTTGAGGGCCGGCCGAGTGG